TATCATTTGAAGATGAATTTGATTCATCTTCTTGGGTGTTGCATGTACGCTTGAGTGTGCTAATCAATTTGTCTTGACAGCAAAATTGTCTCGCAAATGCCAAAAGGACATTTGTGAAAAGGCTTTGTGTGTTATTGGAACGACACAGTCGCTCTGGGGATTGCCTCGCTGGCTAACAGCCAGGAGCACCTATGCTGCAACCTGGTGATGACCGAAGGATTTCCTCCCCGTGATTACTGGGACATCCTCTTGGTGCTTCGAGTTCCTCTCTGTGATCCACCTAAATACATTAAAACTTATCCGTCTTTTGGGTGAGGCGTTAAACCGAGGTCCAGACTCGCTGTGGTCACTGGTGATCCCATGGGTCTCGTCGCAAGAGTAGGGGTGCTAACCCCGGTGTCCTGGCTCTTGTACCAACATGGCTCCCTAATCATCCCCATCTCTAACTGGATAGTGTAGTGTATTTTCTGTTATACATGTACAGGTTGTTCTCCTTATTTCTTTTATTCATCATATTCACTCATCCTATACATAAATAATGTTTCTGTTTTAGGAGAAGAACACAGATGTGTTCTTCCACAACAGATAGAGACATACAGATATCCTTAAGTGCCAACAGTGTACCATGAAGCTCTTTCCCATGGCCTTGGAAAGGCTTGCATACGTGATTGTGAGCGTTGTCTTTGATCGTAAATCTAAAGGCCCATTCACACCCTACGGTAAATACGGATACGGACCCTTTCGTCCGGTCCCGGAGGTCGTTTCGTCCGTCAACGGCTCCGTCGCCAGTGAGCTTACTCATCCGGAGCGCTACGGACGAAACGGAGCAATACCACCAGAGGTCGAGGCGGCAGTATAGAGTCAGAACTCAGAAGTTCAACCATTCGCGGAAATCGACGAAGAATATCATATTATATCATGAATATAATTAATATAATATAATAAGCAATTCATCAAATCGTGCGGCTGACATCCTAAAGTACTGAAAATGCCTTTCGCCATCCAACTCTCTCATTGGCAAAACTAAGGAAAAAAACTCGCCGTTGATGCGCCGATTTTCATTTAAAGGTCTCGCATGCCACCGCCGCGAACACCTTTTGCGCCTTTTTGTCTATTTCTGATGAGACAAAGCAAAATCATCTCTACCGACGCCATGTTTGCGATTGTCAATGCTGGTAATTTGCGACATGGCAGTGAGTGCCCTCTAGAGGATGTATCGCGTCACACCCATAACAACGCTGAAACCGGACGGAGGTATAAAGGGTAGTACCGGAGACGACGTTTGGTACGGACGGACTCATTTCATCCGGATCCGGAGGTATGAATCAGCCTTAAAACGTTATCTGCTAGATGGGAGTACAGTTTCGGTCTTCAGAAGCAAGCCAATTATGGCATAGCTGACTTTGTAAGAAGTGTGTGTATTAGGGAGATCAGTTCAGTTTCGGACCCCATTGGGCTGGTTCGAGAGGTTTCAGACAATTCAATGCATTGAATGACTTCCCGCTTGTGTTCTCTGTTAAATATAAAGTTATTTACTCAGACACTTTTGGGAGTGGACCTCCATCATTTCATCATCCACAGACCAGCATTCTGGCAGCCGAGAAGAATATACCACAATAGTTTCATTCCTCACCTCTCCACTGTTGTACAGCCAGTGAGTGGTGTAGTGATGTTCATTGAGGAAGAAGGTCCCCGACACAGGATCGCTTTTAACTCACTTTATTTGTTTAGCTTTAGGTATTTATCTATGAAGCAAATGGAGAGGAATTGTAAAAGTCACGCGCGTGGAGCGACCCTTAGCTGTGTATCTGTCCAGATACGCTGCCTGGGGGTTTCTGTCTTCCCCCGGATGTGTTGTTTGGTAGTACCTGGGCAGGCGTGGCCTCTATGACGCATAATATGCTCTGATTGGCTAGTGTTTAGCGCCCGCCCCCAGTGTATTATGTGTGCCGCCATCTGGTGGCCAGGTGCGGTTAATACAACTTATATATTTCTTTCTGTTCCCTTGTGGCTATGTGAGGATATTACAGCCTGTTGATACATATGTTATTATTTATCCTTAACAGTGGTGAGCGTCCTGGCGCATACTGGCTGCTGTGCATCACCCATATTATTATTATTATTATTATTATTATGGGCTGTTGCATTTTAATTAACTGGCAGAGATTTGTGACTGGACTTAAGACCGTAGACTTGTGAGTGTCAACCTCTACTGGTGTGTGGAAATTGATGACGATATTTCTGCCAATCCACTGAGCTGTTGAGTCACTGACACCTTCCGGGGTCTGAACTTATGTTGCTCATTTTGAGTCGGCCATCCATTTTGGATGGAGGTGTGACTGTTACCGTAGCATGGTGAGCTCAGGGGTCCGTTTCACAAAGCAGGTTCATCAACCTCTGAGTTTAATCCTAAACGCTGAGTTGATCTTCACTGAGATAGAAAACTCTGAGTTTTCGGTTCCACAACACCGGTTTTGAGTTAATTTGATCAACTCAGAGGAGTTCCACCTAGGGTTAAGCGCGTGCACCACAACTACAAAAAGCCAGCATCAATGGAGCCCCGATTCGACGAGTCACCATGGCAACGGGGAAGAGGAGGTCTACGTTTTTCACCAACCTCGAATTGGAAATCCTAATGCGCTCATATGGCGAATTTCAACACGTTTTTAGAAAGAAGTGCAACACTGCTGCGTAAGTTTAAATGGAGTCCTTTGCGATCACAATAATATTACAGGGGAAAACTGCTTGAATGGTAACTATTTATTTATTTCATTTAGGTGCAATCCCGCGGGGGAGAAGCGCACTTGGCAGCAGCTTAAGATGACATTGTTCAAACAGATAAGACCTCGGCATGATCATTTTGATCATGTTTTACACTGTAAAGTAGGCTAAATATTAAGTGGCTATTTGACTGTATACAGTTGCCTTGCTCAAGTGCTCTGCATCTCCGGCATTGTACAAAAAACTTCCATTTGCAAAGAAACGCAGTGCAACACAATATCTGCTGGGATGTGAGAGACTACGGTTGGTAATGTTGCAAATGTAAGGACGGATTAGGTTGCGTATGTAAATGATGGACTGTGACGTGAAATGGTACCGCTGAAGAAGATAATTGTCTGGAAATGATAATTGTCTGGAAAGGCTACATCTATGGTCTGATAACCCTCTCCCGACGAATATTTAATTCTCTGCGCAGTAATGCTGCACCTTCATCCACGGGATCGTTGTCAAAAGCAGTGCTCGAAGTGGGCCGGTACTCACCGGTACGCAGTACCGGCACTTCTACATTTTACCCTTTAGCGTACCGGCACTTTTTCTTGCGTACCGGCACTTGTCACAGGCTACCGGTACTCTACTTTGCCCTAACCAGGGGCGGATCTACCGGAGTGGCGCCCCCCCCCCCCCCCCCCCCCCCGTCGGTCGTAGGTCCGGGGTGGGTTAATATCGCGCGCACCCCCCCCCCCCCCCCGTCGCTTATATGTGAATAAGGGAGTACCGGCACTTATTTTTTTCCACTTCGAGCGCTGGTCAAAAGGACATGTTCGTGAAAAAATCGCCTCCTAGTGCGCCTAATGGACTTCTGAAATAGCACTGACTCTGATTTTTTTAAATGATTTTTGACAGACGGCTACGCCAAAACTCGTCTGCTGACTGAATGAATGAGGAAATCAAATGGCGTGTGTGGCTGAAAGAGGGCGGAGACAGATTGAACCTCTAGGTTCACACAGTAAAACCTGGTCCCGACCAGGTTAGGTTCATAGAGTCTGTTACTACGGTAACTGACCGAGAGCGTAAGTTATCTCTCTCTGTGAAACAGGCTGAGTTACCCCTCTTTCTCTGGTTTGAGTTACCTCCCTTTGTGAAACGGAAAACTCAGCGTTTCCCTCATTTCAGGGTTAATAAACCCAGGGTTTTCACTAAACCTGCTTTGTGAAACGGACCCCAGGGCTGGTGTGGCCCCAGTAGGAACTCATGGGTTTCATTATTCATATCACACAGGTTTGTTTATTTTAGCCATTCTTCATATCTTCATTGTTCATATCCCAGATGTACCCTGTATGCTAGCAGTGATTAGGCTGAATAAAAGGTGGCCGGGTGCATGTGGACTCGCTAGGTGCGTGTGTGATGCTCAAGTGCACATCCATTACACACACACACACACACACACACACACACACACATACACACACTGTACAACAGAGACACTATGTCACTCCTTGTCCTGCCTCCTTGTCTACACCCTGATCTCTACTCACACACACACACACACACACACATGCACGCAGGCACATGCACACACACACCCTGTACGACAGAGACACTTTGTCACTCCTTGTCCTGCCTCCTTGTCTACACCCTGACCTCTGCTCACACACACACACACACACACACACACACACACACACACACACACACACACACACACTCAAACCAACAGAAGAAAAGAGAACGTCAGTAAAACAGGGACATTTGAAATGTCAATTTTTTGACATGATTCAAAATCTCTCATGTCAAAAAGTGGATATTTGTTTCACTTCAGAACACAACCCTGCAAAGAAACACTCCAGTCTGACCTTTATGTTCTAAAAAGCCCTTTGAGAGAAACTGAAGCCAATCAAGCATTAAGCAGTTGTACGATTTACATATACATTTCACCCACACACGCACACACACAAAAACACACACTCCATAATGAACAGTAACAGGAAGCAGAAAACCCTTCCCAGTGGTTAATCATTTTTTGTGATGCGTGCATAGACAATATTGCTAGATTTGGAGATGTTGTTGCTGTTGTTGTTTTGTTTACTTTAGCTTCGGCGTATAGTTCCTCATCTGGAATAATTGCAGTAGATTGCTGTTTGCCAAAATAGATTAACAAACCATCGGAAATAATAAGCAGCCAGCTGAAGGTTGGAAACATCACTCATGAATAATGGAAACCATCTACTGCCAAGACCAGTCTTTTAAATATGTCCAAACCGTTCTAACCAAGCTTAACTGGTAGAACGGTATGGAACGGAACGGAGCATGGCACTAACAATGCCAAGATTAGGGGTTCGATTCCCACTGGAGCTGCCCATGCTGTTTTTTTGCACAGTATTTAGCAGCAGCATTAAGCAGATGTTTTATCCAAAGGCATTTGCAAGTGACAGCGGGTACAATCAAAGGATACGATCAATATCGGAGCCACTAGAACATTTTAAAGTGCTGCACGAGTAACTTTTTCACTAACAAACTGGACAAAGTGCCGCAGAGTGATGTAGGAATCAGAACGCAAGCTTATAGATTATTAATATAATAGATTTGTGATAGTCAACTGCATAATAGGAGTGCATCGCTCCATTACAATACATACATACATACATACATACATACATACATACATACATACATACATACATACAATATACTAAGTACTATAACACTTCTACAAAGTAATATACATTCCAAGAAAATAACAAAAATAACAAACAAACAGTCCGGTCATTCAAATTCAATAAAATCTAACAGACAATGATTTTGATCAGTGCACTATACCATTGGTACAGGCAAAGTTTACTTTTAACGCGTTTTATCCAGTTGTGATGGATAAAACGCAGAGACGCGGTGGTGGTGAGCCCTGGTGATCCCAAAAGACAATGCCAGAAAAAGAAGAAGAATTGTATTCATCTCTACAGTCCGTCCTCATCAGCCTGTGAGGATCTGTCAGCGATACCCCAAGATGCACAGCCAAGGAGGGTCTGTCGCTCTGGCGCTGTCAGCCGCCCCCCTCTCTTAATCAGGAGTGGAACGTGCAGGTGGGTGCGACATAAACATCACTCTCCAACGAAATGCGGTCTGCAGAGTGACGGGAGAGGTCGCCTCTCCTTTCCATCAAGGAAGGAAGGAAGGAAGGAAGGAAGGAAGGAAGGAAGGAAGGACGGGAGGGTTGGCTTGCATGCATGCAGGTACACCCGTATGTGACTTCACACACACGCAGGCACGCAGGCACGCGCACGTGCGCACACACACACACGTACACACATACGTGCACAAGTCATTGATGGGGAGGCTGGATGAGGGTGCATTACTCCTTCAGATAGGGTCAGACGACCCTATCTCTGGCCACTTGCTGGCTCTACCCAGCTAGTGCGCTGACCACGGAGGCAGCGGTTCGATTCCCCACCTGCCGTCCTATGCTTCACGGCATCCCCTTCCTCTCTCTTTCAACACGGTTTTTCCCTCCTTTAAAAAGCTTTAAAAAGCCTCCTCCAACATCCTCAAACACAAAGCCTTCCAATGGAATCACAGCACAAGGCCACTTCTCCTCTCCAAGCTCCAACCGATATAAGGTGACTCGAGATTCAACGGAAATAAAAGTCTCTCTGCTCTGTACGTGTGCGGGGAAATGGCACGAGAAGAGGACGGGTCCTTGTTGAGCAATCAAAAGGTAAGTGTGTTTGGCCTAGTTCAGAGGGAAAACTTCTATGGCCCCCCACTACGCCATTATATCATCCAAAAGAAAAGCGCTAAAGAGCTAAAATTAGATCAGGTGAGTGGCACACAAGGACCTTCCCAGCCAATCAGACTCCCCCATGTTGTAAGCCTGACTCGATGAGGGTTTGTGACTGGCCCCCGTGTTTCTCCTTTTCTTTCCCACTGAATTAATTTGCTGGAACGTTCCCTAATTTGCTCGGAGAGGCTGTGTCCCTGCCTGTTTACTTAATGGGCTTCTCTCTCTCTCTCTCTCTCTCTCTCTCTCTCTCTCTCTGTCTCTCTGTCTCTCTATCTCTACACACACACACACACACACACCCACACACTATTTTTTTCCCCCTGTATTAAACCATCTGTCTGTTATTCTTCACCCACTCTCTCGCACTTGGGGTACCGCAGAGGATGTGATTAGAGGTGTCTGTGGTCCCCGAGGGAGATCACTTCTGCCACCATCGCCACTGTGTCAACAATGACAGATCTGGCCCGGGACTCGCAGGCTGCTAAATTCACTGGGCTGACTCTGCGTGGGTCCGAATAGATGAGATGGGATTAAAAAAAGGAAGGGGAGGGTGACAGGGAGAGTGGGGAGATGAAAGGGAGGAATAATTGATAGGTAAAATGGGTTTTAGGCAGGAGGAGGAAATAGTGGAGAAATGAGGTAGAATAGCAAAGATGAGGAAGTTTGGATGGAGAGGCTCAGCGAGGAGGAGATAAGAGGATGGATGGTGCGGGATGGAGCAGGTGTTTTAGGGAGAGAAGGCAAAAGGAGGATGGAGGAGCAGGAGGAGGAGGAGGAGAACAATGGAGAAGCTCACTAAATAAGTCCGGGGAGGAGGAAAGAAATTGAGAACGATGGACGAAAAGGAAGATGATGGAAGACTTCCTCTTTTTTAATGTGTTTGGCTGAGGAAGGAGGCTGTTTGAACGAGGGCATGTTTATCTTCCTTTAAGTTTGAATAATATGTGACTGAAGTGGTTAAAAGTTTGGGAGTAGTAGAAGTTCCTGGGAGAGTATCGACCAGATGCAATAAGAGTTTCAGTTCAGTGTGTTTAACTCAGGTTCAAGGTTCAAGGTTCAAGGTTATCTTTATTTGTCTCCCTTGGGAGAAATTTGTCTTGGAGGCAGAGTCACAGCTGCATACAAATAACAGACATGTTCACATACGAAAAGAAAAAACACCATGAAACACCCACATACACAAAACATAGATATTGCACACATTCCCTTGATAAAGTGCAACTACAGTCATTAAAGTGCATTCGGCAATCCCTGATTGAGCATTTTAGTTGACAGGGGAACAAAAGAGTGTTTAAATCTATTATATACACATCGTGGAGTTCTATACCTCCTACCGGGTGGCATTAGCTCGTACTCTCGGTACAGTACATGCAAGGGGTCTGATGCAGTATTCCGAGCCTGTCTCACCGCTGCTTGTTCAAAGATGGTCTGGGGAGTGATGGGTGGGGTGGACATGCCCATGATCTTCCCAGCCATGTTTGCTAGCCTATTTATTTGAGACTTGTATTTCACAGTTAGATTGCCAAACCAGCTGGATATACCGTATCTTATGATTGACTCTATAATAGCTCTGTAAAAGGTCAACATGATATTTCTACTGACTCCAAAAAGCCTAAGTCTTCTGAGGAAGTGTAGACGTTGGTGTATCTTAGAACACAGTGTTGTAACATGCGTGTGCCAGCTCAGGTCCTCATCGATCTGTACTCCCAGATATTTGTATGAAGGGACCTGTTTGATGTTATGGTCATGGACACTAATTATACTGTGGTCTCCTATGGACCTGGGGTCTGCTATGACCTCCTCTGTTTTGTTTACATTTATTATCAGATGGTGTAGATCACACCACTCTATAAACTTGTCTACTCCCTCTGTATGGCTGAGGATGTTATTATCACTCTTGAGCAGACTAAGTATCACAGTGTCATCGGAGAACTTGATAATAAATTGATTTGGATGTGAGCTGACACAGTCGTTCGTATACAAGGTAAACAGAAAAGAGGAACTGACTGTTCCTTGAGGCACCCCTGTACTACTCAGTGTCTCCTCTGAGAACACCAAGTTAAATCTCACCCTCTGTGGTCTACTAGAGAGAAAAGAAAAATACCATTTAATTATAAAGGGGTTCACGCTTAACTGAGCTAATTTACGCAACAGAATATCTGGATGTATGGTGTTAAAAGCCGAGCTGAAGTCGATAAAAAGTAATCTGGCGTATGCCACCTTACTTTCCAGGTGTTTCAAAGTGAGATGAGCTACTGTAGATATTGCATCGCATGTACTGCGTTTCTTAGAATATGCAAATTGATACTGGTCTAGCTGGGGTCCTACCTCCTTTCGGAGTTCCTCTGTCAGGATCCTCTCCAGTGCTTTTACTACATGAGATGTTATAGCCACAGGCCTATAATCGTTATTCTCTAGTGGACATGCTTTCTTCGGGATTGGGACTATCACTGATTTTCTCCAGATCTCAGGCACTGTATGCGAGTCTAGTGACAGCTGGAAAAGCCTGTGCCATGCTGGGGCTAATTCCTCAGCACACGTTTTCAACAGGAAAGCATGCATT